CTGTTGCGCCCCTTTTTTTATTCTTTGAAACCAAAAATGGATGAGCAAGTAAATTAGTGCCTAATAATTAGTGCCTTAAAAAACATCCATTCAGCCGTTGTATATTCTTCGGTATTCCACACTTTCTTCCCATCATGCGTTAACGTTTTCAGTGGTGTGAGGTAAAACAGCTATGATACGATGCTTGCTCGTGGCACACCATGGAATTATTCCACTTGTCAAATATATTTTCTTGCATATACATATACTGTAGCTTTTCAGGTGACTAACTTTATTGAAAAGTATAAAGGCACACACGTGATTGATCGTTTGTACGAAGAAAAAATACTAGAAGACACTCCTGGAATATTCTCCTCAAAGCCATTGCATAGCCAATATGTATCTATGTATTTTTCCAACCAAACCCTTCATCTTTTGTTCTTTTCAGATGGGTCAGTTCTATTACGCAGCTAAAGCGTTCGACGTGCTTGAAAGACTGGACCCTAATCCTGAATATTGGGAGGGGAAACGAGGCGCATGCGTTGGAATATTCCAGCAAATCATTGCAGGCCACGAACCAAGGTATGGAGAACAGATAAATTGATAGGGTAGTAAGAAGAAAATGAACTCATGATGAATCAATGGGTGCTTGGGAAAAGTTGTCTAACAGAGTAGATTTAGTAGGTTGCGAAAATTATTATTATTATTAATTTTTTATTATTATTTTATTATTAATATTATTACACGTTGAATCATTTACTTGCGAGCGATTATGATTCTCGCTAGCGACGCAAGCAGACATTACTCAAAGCTAGTGCATGTTCTTTCTTACTATGCAATCTCGTACCCAGAGCCTGCGTTTCTTCTGGCCTGTGGCGAAGAACAATGGCTCTGGCATAATCCATTTTTTGAGACCAGGATTTCTTGGACTTCCGGTATAACAGCGCACGCGTTCAAAGACTTGCCAAAAATTAAAAAAAAAAAATTCCAGATTTTCAATTTTTACTATTATTTTGACTTTGATTATTTTGATCGGTTATATCTAGCTTTCCGAAAATTGCGCATGCGCCAAAATGTGGATTATGCCAGAGCCCTCGTTCTTCGCCGMAGGCCAGAAGAAACGCAGGATCTGAATACGAGATCGCTTACTATGAAAAGAAGCGACGCAAGYGCAAGAGAACGAAAGATTTTGTTTTTCTTGCTTAGGCTTGTGCTTGTGCTTGCGTCGGTTTGCTTCGCTAGTGCATGAGAACCTRGCTTAAACGAGAGCACTCCTTTATATAGCTTGCCGCCATGGAACAGTAAGGTACATCCGTATCAGAAATTTTTCTTAGTCACAAATTTATTGACTTAATTTTTTATAGGGAAACTCTTCGAGATGTTCTTCAAATCCTACGCAACACAGCCAACCCGCAAGTGGAGTACATTATCCGYACTATGAAAAAATGGGCCAAAGAGAATCGCGTACCCGTCTCGTAACTYTTTTCCGTTCTAGCAGACTTCCTGTAGAAGAGATGTCCCTTGCTAAGTATGACGGGACGTGGGTATTGAATATCTTCATTATCAAAAAGGCACGCTTATAGAGCCTTTGCTCATGGATAAGCATTTTCTAAGATATCTAACGAAGTGCATTGTGGGATTGCTTGGGTTCAACATACCTTATATGGTTTTTGTACCCAAGCTAGACCAAGATGCACTTTATCAGTTGTTTGACGAATTCGGAAAAGGGCTGCAGCTAGTGGTTATTAGAGTCATGCATTTGACTTCACATTAGCGGACCCAAGGTGATTTCAAGCGTATGTCTGTTAACTAGAAAGACAGTATATACCATCCTTTTAATATTTTACATTACTCTTTATTTTTATTTTGAAAATTCTAAAGGGGTTGTTGCTAGCCACCCAATCAATCCCTTGGTTGTGCCCTTACTTGAGTAATCTTTCGCAAAGTGATTACCTCTGCGTGTAAATATGAATCAGTTTTCGTCAAAAGACCATGAAGGACAGGTCCTTCATTGTCTCTTGGTCTTCGCTACAGTATTTGCTAACTGTAATCGTGAAATATTTATTTCAAAGTAAACTACATCTTCACCCATCTTTGGATAATGTCTAAATGATGTGTGCGCATGTTACATTTTGTACATTTGTATCAAGGGTGTCGGTAAAAAGGACGCAAATTTCGCAGCAATCTTCAAGACCTCAGTTTTTACTGTACGCAAGATTTCTCTGTGTGCACTTAGTAAAAGGTTGCGCCTTTTGTCAATATATAGCAAAAAAAATTACTATGGAAATGAACTCTACTTTATTCACTCCTCGAAAAAGACAATTTGTAGAAGACATTTGTTGAATACTCGCTGCTAGCGCAATGAGTAGTTAACACTTCCCTTTCTTATTATCATTTTATTTTGCCTTAAAAAAWTTTYCATTCGTCTAAATGYARCCTKGGCCCGGTTGTACAAAGGGTGGATAGCGCTATCCGAAGGATAAATCCTTATYCAGTGGATAAWTTATTGGATAAYAGCATSKACTTATYCACTGGATAAGGATKTAYCCGTTGGATCACACTTTCTCATACGCATTAATAATTCATGACTAAACCAACCAATCAATGGGCTATTTTTGGGTCACATGATGTTACTTGAAACCTGGTAA